GTTCGGTGAGTGCTGGCAGATGTATCTTGGCACGATACCAAAGCTCTAATGTTATCCGGCAACGAGGAGAACCGGTTGTAGACGAACGGCAAGTAAGGTATCGCGAAATTATCGTTACTCAAGAATTTACCGGTTAACAGCAGCCTGCCAAGCACCTAGCTGGTGTCGACAGAGAAAAGAAACTTTTCTTCCCTCTTCCTCCCTCTTCTTCCCTCCCTCCAACCTGCTATCTATTTTTCTTTCCTCTTTTTCTGCCATGCTCTACATTTTTCTCAGTCATAATTCGAAGGGAGTCGTTTCTCGTGGATGAAGCTGACGGCCATCTTGGAACGCCAGCTGTACAATTGTCGGGTATATTATAATTTTATTCTCGATCGTATCCTTTCATCGATCGTTCCGAGCCAGGAGACGCTCTTTGAAAGAATGCTCGGAACGTAGCAATTAAATAAACGAACCGACCACCATAAACGAGTAGTTCCTTAACGTTTAAGTTTCACCGTGAGATCTCGGTATAAAATTTTCAAGATGGCCCAGCTTAAAATGTTTTTCGCGTTTTGCTTCGCGATGTACCCCTCGTTCACGGTTCCATTATTTTATTGTCCGTCCCGTTTTATCAGAGTCGTTTCGAAAGTTTCACCATAGGAAAATCTGAATCGTCTCGCGAAAATCGGCCGATGGAATTCCAACAAACGATGGAAGAAACTGTCACGAACGATTCTTAGCCGCCGAATAAACGGGTTGCGATCCCGGGTAACTACGGAAGGATGTCTCTTTCGTGGTGTTCGGAAAATCAGATTCGTCGATGTAGAATTCGTCGAGCCGTGCACGTCGCGATCTCGATCGCGTGCGCAAAATATTTTCATTCCAATTTCTCAATGAAACACGACTTCGAACTATCTACCGTCCACTTTGTTCTTCTATGATCGATCGCTTTAGGGATCCTTGACGTTTAATAACGACCCCGGGAACCATCGGAGAAAAATACGCAACGGGAAGCAACGTTACGTGAAAAAAAAAAAAAAAAAAAAAAAAAAAAAAAGAAAAAGAAAAAAGGAGAAAAAACGGGAAAACCAGTTTAGCTTCGATTTCCGTCGACGTCCCACCGAAATGTGTTTCGTCTCCGTTAAAAACGACGAACGATCGATGCCGAGTGACGCGTGCAAGAGTCAGTTCGAAGAGGAGAAATTGCAGAAAGCGTCGGCGAATAATAGGTAACTAACGAAATTGTTCTTAGCGAATATTCAGATTCGGGCAAGTGGTAATATCAAGAGGGATTGCAGTCCAAGTCAGTTACGGTTCACGAAAAGTTGGCGGACGATTGGGAAGTTCGCGAAACACACTTCCACCAGCGAGACGAGTATTGCAAAAGTTTAATGAGAAGGAGTTAGGCTGGCAACAGGCGATAAGCTCCGAGTCTCGCCTGCTCCTCGAATCATGTCGATAATGACGCACCATTGTGAGCGAATCTTCCGATGAAAGAACCTCGTAAAAGCCACTGCAAATGGCCAGCGGAGGGCGACGTGGCCCGATTAAGATGTCGAAAGGGCGAATACTGCCGCAAACGTTATGATTCATTACCGTTCAGACATTTTCCGGCAAATAAAATTACGGACAAGATGACAGGAAGGCGGTCGCGTGTAACCTAACTTCCCCGAAATGATCGGTTGGTGGAATGGCGAACTAACGCGACGGTGGTTCCTCGAACGTTCATCGAATTATTTTGACGTTAATTACAGTGGAACGAGAACAGCCAACTCGAACCGACCCCTGCCGAAAGCGTTTTTCCATCAGCGAATTCCATAATTGTAAATCAGTCACGTGGTAAAATCGGAAACCGCGTCGGAGCTTTCGCCGAACCTGCTTTCATGTAAATATGTTTACCAGACGCCGAGCTTTCCGATCGAGGACGCGACTTGCTTTGCGTCACTGATACACTTTGTCCCACTGTCGAAGATAACGATCGGTCAACGAGCTTCCGACTTTCTTTCGCGACGGGATTTATTTTGCCCGAACTGCGAGATAAATTGTTTGCACGGCTCGTTCTTGGCACACGAGCTTTGAGCGGTAGCTAGAGGTTCTCGATCGTCTGGACTGAATTCCGTGATTCGATTCTAAGTTAGCCGGATCCTGAAATCATCGATCGAAGGTCTCGCGGCAATCGGAAAAGTAGAAACTCCGACGAACCGAAGTCGTCGGACAAAAAGGCTATTATAAATTCCATTAATATTCATTAACCATTCGAAATGCTCTAAACTTTAATTATCCCCAGGGGCTAGCCAACCTATCTTCGCCACTAAGTAAAGCGGAATGGAACGTTGAATTAAGTAAGACACGATAAAGCGATCGTTACGAATTAACAGGGCACCGTTCACGCGGTAGCCGATCGCCCAGGTAATTTTCAATTTGTCACGAATCGACCGTTCGAAACGATCGATCCAGCGAATACGATATCACCTCTTGGCCATTACCGACCGGCCACATCGGTATATACTTCTTCTCGACTTCTTCCTGGCGGAACTTTCTACTCCGCGCTGGAACGCGCTCGAAATTTGCACGAGCGCTGGAAAGAAGGAGTCCCTCTTATTTGTACGGCATTCGGCACGGGTAAATCGAAAACAAGAGCAGTACGCGTTCGCGTCTTTCGATTATCGCGTTTCACTTAAGGCTATCCCGATAGCCCGCGGCGCTAGTAGCTTCGTTACGTAGCACCATTACGTAACAGCAATTCAATGTCCCGTCCTCTTATTTTCCGTGCAATGCAGCAGCACGAATTGGATTTTTACCAACAGGGAAGTAGGCTGAAGAAGAGAAGGGAAGAGAAAAGAAGAGTAGAGAAAGGCGAGTATAAAAGAGTCGGAGCGAGAATCGTGGGGATAGCGGTAGATTCGAGGCGACCGCTGCTTCAAATCGAATAACGGGGCTACCCCCGGTCTGCTGCCTCCTCGCCGGAATAATAAGGACTCCATTCTCTCGAGATCGAGAAAATCGATCGCACCCTATCACGTCCATCGCGCATTATTGCCGCCGCCTGTTTCCGACAACTCGTCTCCACCCTCTGGTCCCTGGCCCTGATTGTGGTCACGCTTGACAGAGCCACTCGGGTAGGTGTTGCCTTTCCTACCACTGCTCGCCATGGTGTTTCTATCTTCCGGTTACCCTTCAACCTTTCCAGGCCCTCGATACAGCAAAAGAAACAGGCCAGGCCATCGCGAAGATGAGGTACTCCCCCGATGAAATTACCTTCTTCCCTATCCCACCGTTGGAATTGTCTGTTTCTTCTGGCCAAGAGGTTTGTACAATTTCATTTATCACTTTGACCAAACGAGGAACACGGCTAGACAAGGAAAGTTCTCTCGTAACTGTTCATAAGTTCGCTACAGTTCCGTAATGGTGCGGCGAGCTGACAAACGAGCGGAGTATGCGAAGAAATGGACGCGACACTGGTACATACGAAACATAGCAGGGTAGAAGACCGAGACGCCGCGACGCGACCGTCTCGTGGATACCATGATGTTCCAAGTAATTCGTACCGACGAATTTAAAAGTAATATCCGGTTTAGACGTTGTCCGGGTATAATTATGCGACGAGGACGCTCGTGTAAATCGTCCGCAATTTGCGCCAATACTGTTAAATATCCTTAAACGTTTCGCTCAGAAAGTAATTACGTGACTAATATCTCTAACTGGAAACTCCGGAACCCGTGATAGAATGGAGTAACTTGAAAATTTAATACGTAATCCAGCGAGAGATTAGCAGATGTTACAGCATCTTTCTCGCCATTTCAATTTAATCTTACCCTTGGAATAGACAGTTTTTCCCTTGCCTCTCGGTATTAATTCGACATCCTATAAAATTCCATCAACGACAACGTAGTCACCGCGTTTTAATCCTTCCGAGATCGAGTTACGCGGCTGTACATTTCCGAGAAAGGTAACCGAATTCAGGGCTTTTTGTAGAATTCGACAAACGAGAGATCATACGGGGCATATCCCTGCCATCGCGAATGAAAATTAATTTCTGTTGCCCTTCGCTGTGGACAGAAATCGTCGCGGCATCCTCCGGCAGAGATACGTGACCCAATGTGTAGAGACAAGCTTAGGACAGACCTCTCCTTTATTAAGTTAACTCTACATGCACGCAATCCATCCATTTATATCTCCGACGCGAGCCCTGCTCGTATCTTTATAAGTAATTGTGTCGTTTGAGCATTCGAGCGAAGTCGAATTAACGATAATGACAAACATTCCAGAGATTACGCTCTAACGACGCCGATTACCTGCACTTTCTTGTCGCAAAGCGAATTTAATTCCAGATTCATTAACTGTTACGGCACGTACGAATCGCTCGAAGGATCTAAAGATACTCGACTGATAATCGCTTTGAAACCTTCCAGCACCGGACAAAGGGGCGAAATAACGACGAGGAATTTTTTGGAAATTTCGATAACGAAGACGCAACTTGGATTTCGAATATAACGCGTATTAGACGATTTATGGAGAAAGTACGGGGTTCGCGTTTATATGTAGGAAGTCGATAAAAATATCACGAGTCCCATATTTCTCTGACGGAGATAACTTTATTGCGGCGATACTGTGATTGTTACGGCTTTCATATTTTCACAAGCATACCACTGCATACCTGTAGATTCGGTTGTTCAGTTTCAACTGGAAATTCTGTCGGTCGTAAAAGCCACTATTCGAGGAATACGTACATTGACAGTACCGAGGGGAGGAGTAAAACAGGGACGAAACTTGCTATCGTACACAGTGTATTCGAAAGTTATAATAACAGGAACAACAACAAAGATAATTTGCAACTAACAAGAACCCGCGTAAGCGAAGTACGCGAAATTTTCTTTGGTCCAAACGTGCCATTCGTGGATGTTCGATTAATCCCGAGCCAGGTTAATTCGCTTTCGTTATAATCCAGAGAACGCATCTGAAATTTTCCTTGCTCGCCGGTCCTTTAATACCATCCAAATCCTGGTCCAAGTGTGCCTTTAGCCGATCCATCCAGCCCCAATACCCTCGTGTCCATTATGTCCACCATAAGTCCCACCCTCGTGATTGTTACCATCGGAATTGTGAACGTCAGCGAAAAATCCACCGTGTGGATCGGCGTGATATTTCACAATTCTTACGTTACCGCCTGGTTCTTTAAAGCTGTACTCACCCACCACTTTTTGACCTAGAAAAAACCTGCTCTTTGTTATTTGATCTTTGCTACGCTCGAAGTGAACATAACTCGTCACCCTCTCTTTTCGCTTTTCGCTTTGGTCTCGTACGTTTCATTTCGAGACCAATGAAATGCTTGCACGTTGAAAAGTATGACGTTTGGGGAAGATTAAAATATTCCGAATCATTCCGAATTCGTTTTGATCTACCGTTCTTTGCCGTTTCATAAAAAGCTTTCATGTTAAATTTTGCTACCGTTACAAAACATCCCGGTAAAATATACGCGAATGCGAGAAAGTTAATAACAAACTCAAACTAATTTCGAGTTAACGGAACACGCAGTTCATTAAGGGTTTGGTATTATTAAAATTACTCTTCCTTTTACCACGCTCTGACCTAAAATTTTTCGCTTCGTATACCTTCAGCACAGTGATATTGATTTATGCCTGATTATAAATTTTTATAAATAAATCAAACTCGATGTTAATTATATGTTAGAAACATGATCATAAGGGAACGTTGCGCGTATATCAACCTGTTGAACAGAATTTATCTGCATCTATAATTTACTTTCTTTTACTACACGTTCGTGCACGTCAACGATAAGCGTGCACCTTTATTATGAAAAATAAGAACATTGAATGTTGAAGAAAATTAATGATTTAAGGTAACTCCAGTCAGAGAGGATAACCTTTATATTCGCTGATCTATTTACCGTCTCTGTGCTCTTTCTGGCCATGATGGTCGTGAGTGTGGTGGTCATCTACCCCATAGGAAAATTCGTATTTCGGATAGGCGACGTAATCGACGTGATGATGTCCTCCGTGTCCACCGTGGATATAGATTTCTTTCGCGGGTCCTTCAACCGGCCCATGGAAATGTGCGAAGCTGTGAGCGTGTCCTGCCAATGCGTTTCGCACCGCTACCACGGTTACCACGGTCGAAATTACAGCCAACTGCAAACGATATACCTTTATGACACAAGGGGCACAAAAGGTCTGTTTAATCTTACGTTTACCTTCAACATCGTGTCGTTGATGCACAAAAGATCCTGATCGAATGGTGTCCTAACAGTCGTTCATAGATGTTTATATACCAGAAAATAGTCATTGTTTTTGACAATTGGAACGTACGATGGTTGTGTCACACGATTTGGACCACACGACGCCCTTACCAAGACGACAATCTATTCCGCTCTATTGATCCCTGATTGGATACAGGAACGGTTTTGTACGTTTGTTGTTTGCTCTGTGTCACGAAAGCCATGCGATATATCGTGGTGGCGAAACGATAATAAATGCAATAAAAAGTCGCTTGTTCAAAATTTCGTTACCTTCGCCCGTGATAGCACCGTGCAGTATTCGCTCGACAACGGCCAATCTGAAACACAAATTTGAGTTGTATTTGTTTTATTCGCTCGATGAACGGAACGGGTTTTCGTGCATTCTGTTTGACAGCTTTAATAGAATATTCTATGGCATTTTCTAATTACAAAGCAGCCCGAGTCGAGTTTTATGACGTAGCAACGGAATCGCTATCGTTCGATCGAGCAGAAACACGTAATTAACTTAATCTCGATAAACAGGATTAGGACTAATCTATTAACGCAACGAGTGACTCTGCGATCGTGACGATATCTTCGATCGAGTAAGCGTGTGTTTGCTCCGAACGAGGCGAAAGCTCGCAAGGATAAGTGGCGAAAGATGGTGTAGATGAAGCGGACCGACTCCTTGCAATTCTTAGATGTATCTCTTTCGCGAGGAAAAGTTATTTCGCGTAGTCGAGCCGTAATCCATCCGTTTACTTCGGTAAGGACTGTATCGATCTGCGCTGCACGTTGCAGCGCGCATTCGTACACAGAACGGATATGCGTCATTTGTGCGTGAGCATGCAGGGGGTAGCTTGGTTGCCCTGAAATCCTGGTCCACATCGTTTGTAGGGGTTGGTTATTTATTAAGATATTTACATCGTAATTAGCTTCTCGAAACCACGCTGAATCTGCGCTTATAAATTCTCGTGATTTCTGCTACGTTCGAACGAATTATTGTTCTTCACGCGGTTCGACGGGCCCCATTATGTAGCTATAGCTACTTTACAATGCATCGAATTCATCGATACTTCGTTACAAATACTTTTCCTCCGATATTCAAGAGTTGATGTGCAATTTTCAGTCACGAGATCGTAAATTACGTTGCTGGTTGCAGTAACAAAACACGAAACTACCTGCCGATAGGATTACAAATGAATCCCTATGAAAATAATCAAGTTACATCAGGAGGGAAGAATAAGGGATGAGATTAAGGATTTGTTGGAGAATTTTATTGTACTTGCTGAATGAAAAATGTAACTCGGTCTTCCCAGCTTCGCGATACGATAAACTAAATAGCATTACCCAAAATAATTCTCCAGACGACGTACTAAGGACGGAGAAGGTGGTAAACGCTGAACTAATTACTTTAACGAGCTTCGAGTGATATTTGATCACCGGAAGGAACCGGCCGTGCGAAAACTTACGACGCGTTTAGAAGCGGAAGGTGTAGAAACACCGTACGCATGGTTGAGATAAGCTGGAAAATCGCGCGCCTGTGATATTCCCAGAATTTTAGAAGCAGAATAACGCGTTTGTATTTTTGAACAAGTTCATCGTGAAATTTTATCGTCGTCAGAACTTGGGTTTTACATTTTTAACTATCTCTGACTAAAAGAAAGTTTGGGAAAACTCGAGTAAGTTTGGTTAATTAATTGCAGGAGCTGCTTCCTCTGCTTGTCTTGAGAAAGATTCGTCCGTAGTTATAACTTGGAGAAGAAATATTTGGTAGCGATGCATATTTCGTTTTAATTACTCGGGTTTCGAGGAACGAAAGCAATCGGTGCATGTATATTGTTTCAATTCCCAAGGGAAGATTCGAAGAAGCACGTCTGTGCGTCCATGATGAACCGTGTCTACTCGATATCGGCCATCGATATCGTAAACTTGCTAGAGATCATCGAAACGCGATACTATTACTGACGATGGAAATTGGTAGCAAAATCGAGAGGAGTGGGTCAGCAATAAAACGAAGAGGCGCACTCTTTACGGTATTGTTCGATTTTGCTTCTCGATTGTTGCACTCGTATATACCAATCTATGTAACATGCTTACGACCACTTTGAATGTCGAATTCCGATAGCTTCGATTCACGGTATTTCGCAATTTTTGGGCAATTAATTGAGTCGATTTAACGTTCGGTTGGCTTTTTAATATATTTTTGTGCTGAATATTCGTTAACGTGACAACAAACAGAGATAACACTTTAGACTAGCTATAGAATACATAATATGAATTTAACGATAACGATAACAACGAAGATTTATAACAGTAACGATATAGAAATAGTTGAACGATATCGTGGTATTTATCTATGCTTATGTCCACCATAAGTACCGCCAGAGTGATCGTTTCCTCCATAATTATGAACCTCCGCGAAGAAACCTCCATGAGGATGTTTTCCCTACGGTTCGGAACACCTTCGTTAATTGGACACAGAGACGCGAAATGCTCCTGCATTTCTCGGAATGTGCAGTGGAAAAAGTTTTAGAACTAATGTGCCGAGAACTGGTCGACGGGCAAACTTGTTCTCCAATTATTATGTGAAAGACCCGCCGACCAATTAATTCGAGAATCTAATTAAGAGCACGAAATCGAATCTGGCTACATTTGCTCGAGTCGTTGCTGCTGCGAACGTTCTACACCCGGTACATACCATCGCGATGTTCCTTTTGTCCATGATAGTCTTTCGTGTGTTTGTCGTCCACACCGTAAGCAAACTTATACTTGGGATGAGCCCTGTAGTCGTGGTGGACGTGTCCGTGTTTGTCTTTCCAGCTGACCTCTTCGTGATGGCCTTCTACAGGCCCAGAAAAGTGATGGAAGGAATACGCATGGCCATGACCATGACCACCGCCACCACCACCACCACCACCTCCGCCACCGCCATGTCCAGCTCTGTCTATGCTACCGGCTTCTTCGTTGTCTAAAATCACACACCGTTTTTAAAATTGCTGCCGATTACGGTATTTCACGGATTCCGCACCTTCGTGATAAATTTTTGGATGAGCAAAGCTGATCGAGATCAGGGCAAGGATGACCGCACTCTGAAATGGAATGAAAAACAAAAGGAATCGTCAGTTTTCAATGTACCATCTTCTGGCGCAAATCGCGCGGTTAAATGGAAAGGCGTGACTGAAATATCGCGAGAATTAATCGTGGAAATCGAAGGGTTGGAGTGCACGATAGAAATTCATTTTAATCATGCGAGGTCGCGTACAGCGGGGTAGAAAATGGCAAAAGGAGGACCATTATTCTTTGTCGGAAGTACGGAGTCTAAGCGGAACAGAATCGCGGAGGCGCTTTTGCCGATCGCATAAAGACCTCTAGAACATGCTGCGTTTCTACTTTACGATTACGACTTTGTAATACTTTGCCACGGATCCCGTGATCCATTTTACGGAAGGTGGCCGCACTCTTTAATCAATAACATCGGTGTGATTGGAAATTGGAACGATCGATGATCGCGTTAGATCGGTCTGCGGGCTTATCCTTGTCCGACGAAACCGTCCGAATACTCGCGTTATAATCCCTGCTTAATCGTTTCTCAACGAATTCGTATTAATCAAACGTGTCGATAGTTGCAACATTGCCTTTCGCGATAATCTAAGTAATCCAACGTCGTTTATTCCTAATGAAACGGTACGTTCTCTATCGATTTCCAAGGTGCGTACTTCCTACCTGGATCAGCGCCATGTTTCCTTCTTTGAAGAGCCGTCGATGGACTGTTTACTTGGGCGCGAAAATCCTATTTTATACGAGCTGCCCAGCTGACAAAAGAAAGAACTCATTAAAGCATTAATTTATTTGTCACAGCTTGTCAGTGGTTTCGATAGAGTGAGAGGCAAAGCTGTTGCTGCTCGCTGGACCGAATGTTTCTTCAAAGTCGTCGTTATGACTCCAGTTTTCGCCATAGCCAGCCACGGATTGGCGTCGGCGTTGTACTGTGACGTAAAAGGTTGACAAAAATGCGTTGCAAAATACCTGCCGGACCAAGAAATCCAGGCTTCCGGTTTCAAAATCTCTTTACAAAGACGGGATCGATACCGAATGTATAGCAATCGACTGAAACGAGCTCGCAACGAATGCGGATTCTTCGCTTTCAATTGTACACCGATCCCATCGATGAGATTTACACGCGAGCCCCTCGTAAACAGGAATTTTAATTCCGTATCGCGCACGCAATTATCCAAACGCCTATGCGTACGCGAATACATAGCCGGTGGTTTAGTAGTTTTAATCAACCCTGAAAATCTGCGATAATTCCAGAATTATAGGGCTACAATTATTCCCGCGTTGGTTCCGGTCAATTCCATTAAAGAAACCGTCCTATCATATATTCGATCAGCAACGTAAATTGGACTGTCAAGATTAATGAGCAATAAATTGCGCGTTTTCGACGATAGAGCGAACGAGTGTCAATATGTCGCCTGAATAGCCGCATCCCAGTGTAGCAATACAGTTTATTGTTGAATTTATTGCATTTCCGCGTAGCGCTCACTCGCATGATACATTCATTCCTGGCTGAATTGTAATCTATCGATTCAATGGAAAGTCAAATATCCTCTCTTCCTTTCTCCGACTATTCGTTTTATCCCCCCCCCCTCTCTCTCTCTC